ACTTAATACAGAACTGACGGACATGGTAGAACGTAGTTTTGGACTTGCGCATAATATGGGAGGCAGGTCACAACTCTGTATCGAACATATATCTCAGGGGATATAGGTGCTCTATATTTGACTTTGGGAATATCTATAAAAGAAGGCATTTACATGTACATACTAGAGTAGACTTCACGGGAGGGTATTTCCATAATAAATATATATATTAAAGATACTTGATAAAGACCTTTACATTATTTACATCCAACTGCAATCGCAGCCACATCATAATCGACAAACAGACCATAATCATTATATGTCTGAATATTTAGATAACTAAAGTCGAATAGAAACGTATCGGGGTGTCGCGCGAAATTACTATAAGAGACAGTGCAAATCCATTGATCAAGCTTCTGTACTCGGAATCCGCGCTGCTATACCGACCTGGTGTACTATGCCCATCACAGCCCTGATAAGGGAGACCGGCATCCAACCAGCATACATTCTGCTCGAGGAACGCAGGCTCAAGACTGCCGCACGAATCCGGGGACTGGATGATTAACATCCGCTTCGACTTCGGGCCACGGAAATCACCGACAGCGCTCGCCATCGACTCGGACTAAAGACATGCAACAAAACCAGACTTGGTCTGGATAGAGTTCACGATTGGAGGGTCCAGAGGATGTACTGACTTCTGCCAGAGGCTGAACTTCCTCCACCGCTCCGACCTCCAGTACCCCCTCAGCCGAATACTTGCTGAACAAACAAGAAAGAGGCTGCCGAGTTTATAAGAGAATGGCTACCGACACTCCCACCCAACTGTCTCTGCGTTTACAGTGATGATTCTGGGGCGTCCACCGACAGAGTGTCATGGGCCTTTGCGACGTTTATCAGTGGCACAGGCACGACAATCGAGCAAAGCGGCTCAGGCAAAATCACTAATGCGGAGGTCTACGGAGCAGAGGTTCATGGAGCATTGGCTACTCTAGAAGCAATCACTGTCAGCAATCGAGATCAAGGACGCAGCGCCATCTACATCCTGCTCGACAATTCTGCGGCTGTTCAGGCTTTACTGACAGGAACAACAGGCTCATCATCCTGGCGTATCCAAAAGTTCGTGAAACTGGCCGCGGGATCAGCCGCGCCTGTCAAAATAGGATGGATTCCGGGCCACGAAGGGCTGGCAGGAAATGAAATCGCCATGAACTCGCCCGAATAGAGCTTAACTCACGGGATAACTCTAGGAAGACACATTGTGTAATAACCCTCGCCTCATCTGGGCGGAAAGCTCGTGAACTGGCCAGGCAGATGTTGACAGACTGGTGGCACTCGAATCGCCCCAAATAATACGCCGATCTTGAACTCGAGATGCGGCGCAAGAAACCGCCAGAGCTAGCACTACCTAGAGCGCTCTTCGCTCGCTTGATCGCTGCCCGAACTGGACATGGGGACTTTGCGGCATATCATCGCCGCTTCAACCACACTGACGCTACACTTAACTGCGAGTGTGAGAGGGAAAAATCAATTGGTCACCTTGTCCAGTGTGGAAAAGCTCTGGCAACATGGCGGCTGAAAAGAGGAAAGCGTAGGGCGCCGGCCCTGGAAACAATGCTTGGATCAAGGGGATGGCAGTTGTTCGGGGACTACGTCCTGGAGAGCGGAATATACGCGTAGGCCAGTCGGGGGGGTGGCAGGGATACCTGTGACTCGGAGGTGATAAAACGGAAGCCTAGGTGGTTTGGTATGGAAATAGTGATAGGAATCGAGGCTCAGGCGCGTGGTGGCTGAGGCGGAACGATGGAAGGGAGATTGTTTAAGTTTTTCTTTTGTAATGTGGGATTTCGCGTGAAAGTTTTTGTTTTATTTTCAATTCTGGGCTGCTGAATTCGTCATGGTTCAACACATAGATGCGGTCTGGCATGGTTCCGGTCATTTAGGTGGGACGAGGCATTTGTACTGCACGGTAGTTAACCTGATCCGGCCCGACCCCACTCGTGCTCAAGCTTCAGTAGGAGTGCGACGGTAGTTACTTCACCAAGCACGTTGATGAACAAGCGAAACAAGTACCTTGAATTTAAGTAAAATTAGTTCACTTAGAATGAATTAAAACCTGTGACAACCCGTGTTTGTGCGGCTTCTGTGGATCGAACACAGTGCCTTCAGATGGTCCCACTGAGACTTCAGTCTGACGCTCTCCCAAGTGAGCTAAAGCCGCTGTGAATTTTTTTTAAAATAATTTACTTAACACTATTGCACATAAAGGAATGAGTATCGTCACGAATTCTTGAATCAAATAAACGGAGATTGCCAGGAATTTTGTAAAATGTTTATCATTTTATTATCCTTTCTGAGTCTATGACCATGTAGGACATGCAGGTCCTCTCCGCCTACAGGCCAAGGATACCTATGCCAGTAGTACATCCCCTCCTATGCCTCCCACACAGCTCCCCTCAAACAGTACCGCCCCTCACAAGTCCTCATTCGATCATACACTTAGACGAGCCGTTTGTCCTTCATTATCTCCCCTCTACAGCCAACGAAACGATGGCCATTTGCGGGTGTATGGCAGCCGGGAAAGATCGCAAAAACCATTGGGTGCGGAGCTCTCCTAACACCGAAATGAGGACTAAATCCGAAGACATAGTGACCCTTCTGAAGGGTTCAAAGAGGCCGGCCAGCTGGGCGCTACAGACTTGTGAGTACCTTGGGAAATTCACACTCTGCCTTTTTAGCTTCCTTCCAACTCCTCCCCGAAGGTCGTGATTGCTGTTTGGTAGTTTAGCTCAACTTCTTTTCTGCCGTCAAGGGCGCTTTGGAGTGCCGTTGACTCATCGACGATAGAAGTCCTGGCTAATAAGCCAAAATCTTGGTCTAGACGCCTACAAATGTTCCAAAGTCGAAAATGCCAGTCCCTGCATAATCTTCAGAGACCTGTTCCCCTTCTTGTTCCACATCTCAGCCACCTATTCTTCCTCTAAATGTATAACTCCATTAGAGCATCTGTTGTGCTACGGTTATTTTAGGTTTACCTGAATCTACTCATAACATGACTCGGGTCGGAGAAGTTAATGCTGATACGTGATGCGTATCAAGGAAAATATCTTTTTGTACGGATTTTACATAACTCATACTTTGAATTGGGTTTACATTTATGTTTCCGATGATATTCTCATCTTATCTGTCCAGAGCACAGTTTGGTATGTTTCGGTGGTAGCATTATTGCCAGCGAGTTATCTAGTAGGGTTTCATATGAGGAAAACTATGTATTTTAGATACTCGATAGCCAGAAAATAGAGAGACAACCCTTCGATGATTTGTTATCTTCTACTCCCATTTCCAAAATAGCCCAACAGCATCAATCCCCCATAAACCAAGATCCAACTTTGTATATTATGAGTTAATTTCCTCTTTGCAGGTATATGTAGCGTCGTAAATTTGTAGCGAATGATGGCCGGTGATGAATGAGGCAAGCTCCTGTTTGCAATTGGGGTGACGCCTTTGTCGGTAGTTGAGGCGAGATGATATGTGTTTGGAAAGAGGTTGAGGACTCAGAAGAAAATGGTGAGTGCTGCATGATTGAGAAATTTTTGGGATATTGAGAGAGTGTAGTCACGAGAGTAAAATAATACGGATGGTAATATGCGATATGTGGAGAATGTGTAGATATGGCTCCAGAGGTATGGAGTGATAAAGATGTGTTATGTACCAAGGATGTGGAGACCTTTCGCTTAACCAACTAGCTGACTAAGCAGCATTTCATGATTGAAGTCCAATGGAAAATGCATGTGTTTGCTTTCGACTTCGAATTGGATGCGATTCTTCTTGGCTATCCCAGATATGCGGAGCACATTGAGCGGTTACACCGGCACCAATGGAAGATTATGAATTCATCTTTACCGGCTTATAAAAGGTATGTTCCTTAGGCTATTGTCACAATTTTCCACTAGTGACAGAGAAGAAAAGACCAATAATTGATGACCAATGAGAAACTAAAAATTTTAGACACGTCACTAATGGTTAGAGATGTTCATTCGTCGCATGCTAGGGCCCTCGAACCCAAGAAAAAAATCCATCCTAACACAGGATACTGGCTGCTTTGGGAGCCAAGTGGCAAACCTATCATGAGCCGAACTTCAATAGTAGCAGTACGAAATTGCCAGACTCATTACCCTCAATATCTACAGGAAAAAACATTGGAATATTTCAAATTTAAAATTTCCTAAATGTAGTTACAAACTTTAGTTGGATTCGCGAGGTCCTCCATGGCGTTAGACTCAGTAGGGACTATAATAAAGATTTAATCTAATCCAATCTAATCTTGCCGTACTCATGAGGGTTGTAAGATCTGTGGTCGCCACTAGATTCTGATTGGCTCAAGCCTCATGTCTGGAAAACTCATCGAGAGTGGAATAGGCAATGTCTGTGCTCGTAATCCCTGTTCCATTCTCCAGTCCCGTGCCAAATACGCTGGGTCAAAGGCCGGGAATTTAGATTTTTATTCGCAAGTCCATCCTCAACCGAAACCAGCGCTGCGCCGTGAAGAAACTAGAGGTGGACCTAGCAATGAGCCGGCTACGCATGTGGCAGTCTTCAAGATTACTGCTGCCGATTTGGGCGAACAATTGACAAAGGCTGATTCGAGAATTGAGTGAAATCCCAAAATTCTGGCCGGATGGTTTAATCAGCTCCGAAGAATCTTTCCCCGCACTTTCAATCCGATCACATTTGGCTCTGATGCGCCCGCTCGCGTAAACTTGAGCGACCGGGGGGCGTCAGCCAGATTCATTGGCATGAATGATCCCTAGACCCACCAGATTTCTATTTATATATAGAAATGTACAGGCATGTCACCTTTCCCGCCAATCCGCATAAATGTTAGTCCGGCCAAACGGCCCCTCCACTCAATCGGATGACTGGCAGGCTTAAGCTTTAATGGGTAGTGAGTTTTTTTCTACAGAATTCATAATACCATCCACTATCATTTTTTCCTCCACAAATTCTTCTCATACTTCGATAGAATGTCGCGTCCCATACCTATTCGAACAAAAACCACATCTCACTGTATCCCAAAGGAACCCTTGGATTCACTCGAATCCCCACCTCCATTGTTTACCTATTCATCATCCCCCGATGAGCCAGATGAGCCCCTACCACTAAACGCCTGGGATGCATCAATAAAAAAAGCCACCCAAGATGACGCTAATATTGAGCGACTCATTGCAGATCCAGGCACGAAGCTTCTTGGGATGTGCTGCGGAGGGGGATGTTGCTTGGTCGCGGCGAAAACTGACTCAATCGACTCGGAACGCGTTGAGCAGCCAGATAACGCGGCATATCGTTCTCTACAAGTAAATATCGAAAAGATTCCTACCACTCTGAGTGGAATTCCAGACATACCAGCACAAAATGTATCAATACTTCCCGTCAAAGACGACGTTTCCCCAGAATCAGACGAGGCCCCCGGATATCTTCTAAGCTCTCCCTCAATGGATTCTACCCCACAAAAAACCTCTAATCCTGTTGACACCACAATTCATCCGCCGAACTACGTTCAGCCACATCCTCCATACAACCTCTTCTCGGCACACATCTTCAATGCCCGTAAATTGACCAAACCGGGCGCGGAGAAAAGAACATATCACTTTGACCTTGACGTGACTGATTATCCTTCAGAAATAGGAGTAGATTTTAAAGTCGGCGGTGCCATTGGTATCAGCGCACCAAATAATCCGGCAGTAGTCGAAGATGTATTCAACCTTCTTGGCATACCACGCTACCTCCGCGATCGTCGAATTCTTCTGAAAACCAACTCTGGTCGATGGCCAACCGTATGGGGTGATGATCAAGCTCGAGAAATTATTACGACTCGCAGGGATCTTCTCACCTGGTGTGTAGATCTTGAATCTTCTCCTCCTACCAAATCTATCCTTCGGCTTCTTGCCGAGCACGCTAGCTCAGTATCTGAAAAGAAAATACTTCTCTTCCTCACATCTACCGAGGGCCAAGCACATTTCTGTAACTTACGTACTAGTTCCCATATCACCATTCCTCAGCTTCTACATGCATTTCCATCCTCACAGCCACCTTTTGAAGCGTTTCTTTCGCACCTCAAGCAACTTATGCCGCGCTTCTACTCTCTATCTGCCGATCCACACGAATCAAATACTGCAGCAAAAGGCTCTAGCAGATTTATCCAGATTGCGGTGACCGTACACGAGATGGCAAGCTGGAACGGGGACGTGCGAACCGGAGTTGGATCTGGCTTTCTCGAGCGCCAAGCACAAAAATTTCTGGATGCCGAGAAGCAGGGCATTGTAGTTGACCTTCGAATACCCATATTCAAAGGGCTGATGGCCAATCCACTTGCACGTGAATTCGTCGTCGATGGTCCAATGTTACTCATCGGAGCAGGCGTTGGTGTAGCTCCATTCCGTGGCTTTGTTCAACGTCGTCTCCGGAATGCTAACTGTGTGAATAAAGTTTGGGTTCTTCAGGGTATACGAGACTCTCTGTTAGATGAGCTCTATAGCGGCGAGTGGGGGATGCACGAGGGCGAAGTTAAAAAAGTCGTACAAAGCCGCAAGAATATGGGACAGGGTAAATATGTGCAGGATGAAGTTCGTGCACAAGCAGATCTTGTCTGGTACATTATCAACAGTCTCGATGGACGCGTATTTGTCTGTGGCAGTAGCAGTGGTATGGGCAAAGGCGTGGAAAACGCGCTCATTGATGTAGCTATTGCTAAGGGAAATTTGGACACGGAAGGAGCACAAAAATTTTGGGCATTGAAAAAAGAGGTCGGACAATACATCTCCGAAACATGGTAGATTCTATTCGTGCATATAGCTACAGTGGCAACAGAGCCAAAACTAGCATACGAGAAACACCAGCTTCGCCGTTTGTGATGGAGCCTCATCTAACAACATTTCCAAACATGATAGACGGCGTGCAAAAGATTGAACTTCAATTAAGATCAGATGGATTTCAAAATTATGAAGGATGCTATAATCTGTGGCAGAACAAGTAATGAGCCGAATAGGGACAAGAAGAGAACAGCGTGGATGAAACAAGTAGATGAGAGCTCATCAAGATAATTTTTTCGCTGCCAACTCCAGCAAAATTATCCTGTCGAGAGTTATCTTTCGTTCGTCTGAGCGTGCATTGGCGCAAGAGCAAGCCCATCGATAACATGATGATTCAAACTTTCATGGCAGGCAGAGAAGCCGAATCAAACTGGTCGTGGGGCTGCAAACAATGATGATTTAAGCAATAGATGATTCTTTTTCTACGGCTGGAGGTGATTGGGTGTATGTCTCGGATATAGGGCAATAGCGTTGAAATGAGAGATTATTACAGGGTGTGTGCTAAAAATTTAATCAATGAACTTCAGCTAACAACTGTTTGGGTTGTTATCGGAAGCCCAATCTATTTCCCCATGCTCTGGCCTGCCGTAGAAGATTAGCATGCCGAGGCTAATTCCATATCTTTATTAAATGTCTGTGATTGTACGTGCTAGGTAACTGGTATCCGTCGCGTTTGTGTACACATAAACCGCAAGCTCAGTACCTTAAAGTAAGTGAACCTTATTCTACCTGAATGGCCCGACAACCCCAGACCTTATTTATGCATCGAATATTTGATGCCTGAGGACGTTAAAATATGGAGAATCAGTCAGTGGTAACCTCTGCTACCCTCGACTTCTAATACTCTCTCTTTGAGCCGAGGCTCGGTCGAGTGTAAAGATATATCTGAGAGGTTTAAGTGAGATGACAACTGGGAAGAGTTGGTTTGGGGTAGTAAGCAAGCTCGACGACATCTCGTGACTGCGCAAATCGAGAACTTTGGCTAATTTAACTCGGAATACAAGCCGTGGTTAACATGAACCTTTCGGCTGTTCGCAGATAGCCAGTTCCTCTCGAGCTTTGTGCTTCCGTCGACGTCTAGCATGGCCAGACTCGTCTTTCGAACCCTGTCGACTTGTCTCACCATCAGCCGACGCCATCTCACACTCGGAAGCTAATGATTGAGCCTGCGAACGCTTGTCCGAGCCTTCCTAAGTGCCGTTTGGAGGTGTCATAGAGGTGATGTGATTGTGGGTCGAAGGGGTAACTTGCACGAAACTCCCCTGCTTGTAAATGAACGTGCTAGACCATTGGAATCCCCTGCACTCCTACTGGAGCTTGAGCACGGGTGAGGCCGGGCTGCACCACGTCAACGACCATTAAAGTACGACAAATCTCTTCCCACCGATTGTTACGGGAATACTCCCCTGTGTGAGTACTGTCTGCGACAGTCATCGGTAGAGATGGAATCTAGGGTCTAGTCAGCTATAGAGACTACCAAGGGCGTAGATTGGGAACGGTTGCTAAGCAACGGAGACTGTTATGATCGGCGTCGTTAATTCAAGTCTCTTATGTAAAATGCAAGTTGTAGGGGTCCATCCGTCTCTAGATTTCGTTAACTAACAGATTTTATTCAGGACTTGCTCTGCTGTATATCGACACCAATTGATCCGGCCACACCTACATATCCAAACCACTTCCGACTTCACCCTCGTGTAGAATCATACCAGGCTCGACTGTCCAGAAATCCGCCGTGTACACGCCGTTGCGCAATTTCTCCTCAGTCTCGGCCATCGCGCGCCTGAGCCTTTTGTACTCTCACTAACTCCAGAATGTATGTATAGCTAGATGCCGGCGTTTCCCAGTATTGCCCACGCCTTGCACATCTTCATCGTATCTTTGGGTTGTCGTTATCACCTGGAATCTGCATGATCCCCTCGGTGTATATTTCCCTTTTATTCTCATTTTTCCATGTGCCGTTTCCATCATGGCTTTGCTCATTAGGGCATCTATTGGTGATGTTGTGATGAGTTTGGAGGTGTTCGATCTAGAAATGAATCGCCGCAGACGTTTTGGAAGTTGGTGTGGTGTCGCTTGTTTGAATACAAGTCCCAACAGACCTTGGATCCTCCGTGAATCGTATGTCGGGAGTGATGAGTCTTTGTTCGACTTTCCTATGGTTGTGAAATCTTGGTCCACTGGTTTTTCTATCAAAATGCCGAGAAAAATTCCTTCAAGCCGACAATTCATCAATTATAACCCATATGGCCCTTGTTCGTGACTAAATCTTGACTGAGGGAATATTTCACCCCCAGGTTCGTAGAAGACTCAGTAACTGTTGGCCGTATCTACAGAACCAGATCACCCAAATTGGATCACTGTGATTCAGTTATTCCCGTTTTAGCGGCAATGTATTCTATGTAATCAAGGCTCTCTTGTATTAAAGGGGTTTAATACGTCGAGTCCAACCTCACGCGCATTATAGCATCCTCGACCTCGAATCAACGAAAAGAGCTGTCCCACGCGTGCATTCCCCCGACAAAACTTGTGAATCGGCAAGTGTTTGTAATGAGAAGTTTCTAATAGATAATATCATCGGTTAGGGGTTCAGAAAATAAAGTAGCTCGAGTGAGTAGATAGTCCTCAACACGTAATTAAGATACAAGAACGTTGCATGCCCTATCTCAAAAGCAATCAAGCAACTTGTTAAACTCTAGAGTAGGCGGAATTGTGGCTTTTTCCAACCTCATACGACAACACAACGTTGCGTAAGAAAAGCTCCGAACTCAACCCGTTTTCCAGGGAGGCTATTCTCAACACCTATCAGAGGTGTCCCCTACGAACCTCCAGCTCTCACCATATACCATGCAGAGTCGAGATTAAGTGACAAAGTCATCACTTCCATGAGAATTCCAAATCACTTTCGCGCTCTTTTTTATTTAAAATCATTCGAACTCTCGCGGTCTGTATCGTCCTCATCCTTAATCACCCCCCCCCCTTATCACCATTATCATGAAGCTAACCACGATCAGATCAGATGGTAGGGTCGGAGCCCTACTCATCACCAACACTTGATCATGGCGGAGAAGCCATCCGATGAGTTTCTGGAGCGTATCCGGCTGCCGATACGGAGATGGTGGGTTGGATTAAATTGGCCTCGAATGTTACAAAGAAGGGAGATATAGATGAATATGCGCACCTCATGTGGTTCCGGTGTCTAGGCCTCGCCTGGATGGGGCTGCAGGTTTTTTGAGACTTTTTTCTGCGCACGCAGTTTCCACTGCTACCATTTTTAATTTTTTTGAGTTGAGGGTGCCGTGGAAAGGTGGTTATACTCTACGGGTAAATACTAAGCTGAATGGCTATTAATCAAGGGCAATATATCAGTAATCTTCGAAGTAAAAAAAGAGGACAGGAGCACTATACAAGGTGTGGCCTGGGCCAGAGAGGAGCCCAATGTGTTAGATATTCATAGACTCAAGTTGCACAATAAGCCCAAACACTCACTCAACCAATTTAGTAACCAGCCTATTACTTGACCAGCCAATAAATGTGCTAAAAGCTAGAATTAGTATTGATCTAGATTTATCCACTAGCATTGTGGACCAAATTAACATGGACACATTCTCAATAAAGTTAGTCTATCGTGAATATGATGGCTAAATGACTCAGGTCTTCGTTTACTCCATGCTCATATCTCTAATCTGCCAAATTCTGTGATTACTCAGAGGCCAAGGCTCATAGCTCATTCTATTTGATGCTAGGAAACGAGGCTTCCAGCCAGCAGGGCTCGCCATGAAATGAGTTAAAGCACCAGGCCTGATCAAGTTGCTCATGGTAAATCTCTATCTCTGTCTTTTGGTTCATTCTATTCAGAAGTACAGAGATTTACTCGAACGGAACTCATTTTCTCTTCTTGTCCACAGCCATGTCCAGCCTATCAGCGTCAAGCTTATTTGGTTTGCTGGTTACCCGTAGGTCATTGCTCTATCGACGACGTAGCAAAGCTGACTTGATACGCACAGCCCTGATGGAATGTGCCTACGTGTTTCATCTCTTTCCGATGCGGCATGTATCGAACATGGAGCGCCAAGTAGTCGTGGCTTACAATTATGATAACCCGACGTATGAAGTCTATAAACCCAAAGTTCATGGCCAGTTCCCCGACATCGAAGATCAATCTGATATTTTTGCGACGTCCCACACATTCAGGGGTCCTGGAACATATGTCAAGGCGTACTGCTCCTTTTCCCTTTCAACAATGGACATAGTGGGAGAAATATTTCAGGGTCAAACTCCTGTGACCGACACATCACACGTAAACTTTGGTGCATATGAAAGGCAAGAAAACGAATGTCTGAAACACATTAAAGGATTGACGGCTAGAGAAGATGAGACAGAGGGCTTAAAAATATCACGAATTCGGAAGCACAAAGGTTGTTTAGATCTCACGCTAGCTCGCCTCGCCTATCGTGGCTTGATATCGATCGAAGGCACGTATTCTGGATATGCTCCTACGGGAATATCAGGGGTGACAAAGGTCGATGCTGATTGTCCTATCGATATTGGGAGCGTTATTTTCGCTAAACAAATCTTCAATTGGAATATCGGACGAAAAGGTACACATGCATTCGCTTGGTACATGGGCCACCTACATGTCTTTGAATGGTTCAATCAGGGTGACCATTGGCGCCCAATCACTGATATCAGTACGCCTCGGAAAAATCATCATATAATTTTAACTACTTTTTTTGCGGATCACAAGGTGACCCTGGATTTCACGTGTCGCGATAGGCGGGCCGCATACTCATATGAAAAGAAAGGCAGCAACGGTAGATGGGCAAGCTACGTGCGTTCGAGAAGCAGTGATCCAAGAGATGATGTGGCGGATTGTTTGACAATCAGTGCGGTTGATGCGTTGCGTAACTACGACTTTGGCTTGTTCCACTCACCCGTTCCATTCATATATCATGGTGCGATGGGCTAAGTTGGACATGCGGTAAAGTTAGCGCTAGATGCTATCATGAGGCGAGGATGGTTGATTTTATACAGTTAGTGTCCTAGACCTACCCTGTCATGAGTGCACTCGACAAAATAGTAAATGCGTTGCGATGGTTACAGTGTTGTGCTAGCAACAGTCATTACTCAAGATAATAATCAATTGGTATGTGGCAGCTGTAAGCTATTGCATCCTAGATTGTAGTGACTGGACTCATGTACTCAAGGGGGCTTTCAAAACTTTAGTTGTAAATTAGCTGTTAGTAGTGTATTTTATGTACATCATATAACATCACTTAGTACATGAACTTCTGGTTTTCGTCCTCGCCATCATCCTCGCTCTCTATCCCTAGACCGCGATCCCCGACAGTTAGTGATTCACGCTTCTTCGTGAGCAATGCCAATCATCGCCGGTGAAATGTGGCTACTATTAAAATCTAGCCCACTACTTAGTTCGCGGACTTGTTGGTAGAGGGAAGCTTATGCAATCATGAAGGATAAAAGCATGCCAATTCGACTACTCTTCTAAACACAGGTACCAGACTCCTTTTAACCCCAATAGATAGCCCGTCCAGGATCTTCTATTAGCAGTAGTAAACAACGCTAACGCAGAGTACACGCTATCTCCGTTCGCCAAGCACCAGTCGGTCGGGACTACTTTGGTTTGATTTCATATAGCCAGTTCAGGTACCCGATAGGCCTACGCAGGTTCATTTAGCTATGATATTTACAAAGGAGGAAACCAATTGGGTAAAAACTTTCAAAACTGTCTGTCTAGTGTCTACTGGTTTGTCTGAAGTCTCCTACAGAAAGTGCGTTGCTACTGTTCATACGGTGTGAATTCCGCCCTATCCTTGTCTACATCGTCTCATCTGCTCGTCCAGTGCTAATTCTACTTCTCCTGCAAGTCGGAATTGTTCAAACCAGCCTTTTGCCAAGATCCATTTAGTGATTCTCTCCACATCATCAGGGCTGTTCATCATTGCCGCAAATGACCTGTCTTTTGCCTTTCGAAGCACCTCTCCTCTTCCCATTGCTAACTGAGGACACTCCAAGACCATATGTTTGACATTTTGAGACTGGTATCCACACTGGCATTTTGTATCAATCACTCCGGGGACTTTCCTTCGATACAGATAAGAATTGAGACCAATGTGCTCACTTCTTATCTGAACTGCAATACTGCTTTGGGCTCTACTAAGGTTCTGGTGGATGTTTGAGGGTGTGTTTCTATAGGTAATCCTTTTTCTGCCTGTTATCTCATCTGTAACAATATTTGCGGCAACCAAACCCTTCATAAATAACTTCCATTAAACATCACCTAACTTATCTCTGTACTCCATGTTTTTAACAGCTACGCCATATATCACCCAAGATCTCGTCCGTTCTTATCCAACGTCTACGCGGAGAAACTTTTTGTTTTCCAGCATCGAACAAGATTTAATTTTGGAGGGCATAAACTGAACACCTGTATGCGATGTCCTTCACAAACTTGGGTGTGGAATATTCTCGCAGAGCCGAGTTTGGTCAAATTTCGCAAAACCGAACAAGTTGGCCCACGAAGCAATGATTCCTTACTCGTAATCAAGCCAACATCTCATTCCCAGCCAGGTCAATTTCGGTAAAAACCTCGTCAATTCTACAAGTACGACCTATTACATCCTTACTTCAATGACTATATCTCTGGTTAAGTCAGTCTCTTGAGTCAAATGGCCTCCACACACACGCCCAAAAGAATATTGATACCTGCAGGAGGACATTGATTGCGGTGCATAAATCTGGAGGTAGATTTTTTGGAATGGACGTGAGAGAGACCTGATATCGGCACTAAAATATGCAAATAGAGGATACGATTTCAGAAGGAATGAGATCTCGAACTTTTATGAGGTGTCTTACACATTGAGCTTTCTGCGCTCCGTGACTTTGATTGTGAGAGTTTAGTCAACGCTATAAACATCGCCATATTTGGACGGTGTGGTGGTAAATCATCTAGGCCAATCTTCCAAGTAGATTCTTGATAGCTTATATACATATCCCGCTCGAAACAGGAGATCACTGGTTCGAACCTGGCAAAACACAACGATATATCTCGCAGCGCAGGTCTACATGATGAAAAAGGCATGCTTGGATAATGAAAGGATTTGGAACGTCTCTTTGACGATGTTATGGGATAGATCCGTAAGGTTGGTACTGGCTACGCCAACACCGAGTCAGGCAACATATGTCACACGAGGCTGGTTGTAGCTGGGCTGGTGATCAATGCCTTGATTCCCGCGCCCTGGACGGTACTAAAGAAGTTGGGCTAAGCTATCACATACCAATCACGATCTGTCAAGACTTTTCTGACATTTCAGCACGACCTTCGGGAAGGAGTTGGAAGGAGGCTAAAAAGGCAGAGTGTGAATTTCCCAAGGTACACACAAGTCTGTAGCGCCCAGCTGGCCGGCCTCTTTGAACCCTTCAGAAGGGTCACTATGTCTTCGGATTTAGTCCTCATTTCGGTGTTAGGAGAGCTCCGCACCCAATGGTTTTTGCGATTTTTCCCGGCTGCCATACACCCGCAAATGGCCATCGTTTCGTTGGCTGTAGAGGGGAGATAATGAAGGACAAACGGCTCGTCTAAGTGTATGATCGAATGAGGACTTGTGAGGGGCGGTACTGTTTGAGGGGAGCTGTGTGGGAGGCATAGGAGGGGATGTACTACTGGCATAGGTATCCTTGGCCTGTAGGCGGAGAGGACCTGCATGTCCTACATGGTCATAGACTCAGAAAGGACAATAAAAATAAATTAAAAAAATGCCTTGATCCCCAAGACCATGATATTCAGAGAGATGTAATTAGTATAGACAGGAGTAACAATTTGGGTTTCTTCTGTAGATTATAGTAATTGACTGACTTTATTTTCGGACTTGCTCAGGTGTCTACCATCATCAATTGATCCCGCGATAGGAGGGTACTCAAAGAAGAGGCTCGACTGTTTCTGTAAGCAAGCATACCTCATTGTGATGGGCTTTGCTCGGATTAGGACTGGTCACTAGGACCACTCTGTCTGGGAAGTTAAGCTTCAACAGAGCAGCGCCCAGCGAATTGCAAGGTTGCGCAAAAAGAAGGATCCAATGATTTATGTAGCCAGGGAAAAATAGAGTATTCTCATGGTGGCTAGGAGAGGAGCTAAGACGTGTTGCAGTTGAGGACATAAAGGACTGAAGCCGACGTAGGCAGTTTAGCTTCCCGAGGAAAAATTATTCATTCCCACTGAGCTATTAGCTTTCAAGTACTTTTGAATTCTTTACACCCTCTACACTCATAGTCGTATTTGCGAATAAAATATAGAGTATGAGTGTCCTAGACTTCAAAAGAGTCATTGTTGTGATCAGACCCACTTATAGATCACACAACTTGGAATGGCTAGTACTGGGCAAGTGAACCAACAGGACAAGCGACCCTGCGTCAATGATACGTCATCGGCACACAGCAATGACAACACCAGTATCTCAACCATACATGATTATATGATAATATGACGCAGGTATATCTAATGACATAGTTGTTGAATGGCTGAATGGTTGGCAGTTATTGCTATTGATGGTATATTGTATGTATTGTCTTTGTGTATAAATACTCGCTACTAGACCTCTGTATATGATCAACCTTTTCCACTCTTATATTCAATAGTCATCAATATAGCAGATCTACAATATATATCTGTCTTCTTCACGTTAGACTTAAAGTGCTATCCTACATCAACCCAAGTTGATTGTTACACCCATTGTGACAATTCTTAGACTTCTCATAACCTCGTTATTACAATAGTCATCTAACATGTAAAGATAGCACTGATTGTGTGTAACAACTTGATAACTGAATACACATTAAATGAGAAAAAAAAATCAAAAACAACGTGCTGAATAAACAACTCGATTTGAAAAAAAGAACACTCATACCTCAGACTTCATTTGCAAGTACCACTGCGAAGCTATGGCGGCTTTTCACTTACTCAAAGTCAGCCCTCATCCGTGAATGGTCAGTGTAACAAAATTCTTATAAACCCTGAGTTATCCAGACACGCCTCCATCTATTGACTTGTTTCCGCGCGAAAATTGGTCAGAGGTATCTCCTTCCCAAGTGGGATTTGTGTCTCAACTATCCAGAATCTAACTGAGAGATCGGCCAAGAGGATCTTCTACCGCACCATTAAGCCGCGGCGATATTTGCAGTGTCGCCTGCACTCTCTCAATCGAAGTCGCATGGCGCACAAAGCTCATTGTGTAAAACTTCTTTCAAAAATTCACACCCGTCTAGATAGTTTCCATCCACTGTGTTACAAGCTAGGACTTTATTCAGTTGTAACCGGAGTATATCCGCTTTATTTATCAAGAAGTCTCAGAGTACATGGCTTAGCTGGATTAAGGAGTTGTGTAAAGGATAACCCATGCATAAATCCAAATGCGACGCGCGGTATTCAGTATATAAGCATAGAGTCTTCGTAGTACTTCTTTCCTTTGTGCAGAATATAATTCAATTTACGACACAATTTTTTGCGAATAGCTGACGTGATCAGTCCCTTTAGACCCTGTATCATTTTGTACACTTGTCTTGATTTATCTCACGTCCATCCCAAAGAATTATCCCTCTTATTTGTGCGCCTCGATTTTTGTTCTCCTGCGACTATTCGTATTGTCGTAAGCGAATAATTGGAGGGTATCCAGGGCCAAAAACTTAGTTGACTAGAGGTGTGATTAGTGAAATGAGCATCTACTAAGTCGTACTTGTGAAGTTTATGAGGTTTCGGAGGAGATCGGCCTCGTTCGATGGAGAGATTGGTTTAGTAGAGAGCCTTGGATCACTAGCTCGAGGGCTAACTTCCTAGGTACTGCGTATTTTGACTGGAATCGACTTTGGGAGAATATTCAACATCTAGGTTTGTGGAGGAAACGGCGGTCACGTGTTAAGTCTGTGTTCTCCAACGTGAATAATGAAAGTGTACGA